CCCCTATCAACAACATATTTTGACTGAGACTGTTACAGCATTCGTGACACAGGGTTTTTGTTTAATGCCATCAGCACCATTGAAGTAACAGCTTCAAATCAATTTTAACTACTTTTCTTTTTAGTTGAACAAAAAAACACACTGGTCTCCAAACACTGAGAAGACACTGTCTGAAGGGACAGGGTGCTTGTAGAAACACAGAGCTGTAGACAGTGACTATATCTGCAGTAGCTATGTTTTTACTTGGCATGATAAATAAATCCAAAGATCAATGATGCACTTTATATTCAGCTCAGGACCCTTTGTTATGTCTTTTATAAACGGGTAAATGTGGGTGTGTGTGTCTGGTATTACTCACCAATGACAGGACTCACCTTCCTCATGGGGACCAGCATCTGGTCACCACCATGTAAATAATTGAATTTTAGGGTGATGACATGGTTTAAGGTTAAGATAAGAGTTAAGGTTAGGTGTTAGGCAAGTAGTGGTTAAGGTCACAGTAAGACTCCAGGAAACCCATGTAAGTCAAAATAAAGTCTCAATGAGAAATGAAAACAAAACATGTGTGTGCGTGTCTGTGCTTGTAAAGGTGATGGATGGTCTCCCATTAGGCAGGTGACAGGCTAAGAGATGAGAGGACAGGCCAGGCCAGCACAACATGATAAACTGGACCACCTTTAAACTACCAGCCATACATCAAAAGACACTGTGCACAGCACCAGACACTGACCAAACAGAACAGACTTCCTATAATAGAACACATCATCAGTGTTAGTTTTATAACAGAGAATATCTATCACAATATGGACAACTACAAAACTAGATCAACCTCTGCTCTAGTCATTCAGTATATTCCTAATGTCAGATGAAACACTGAATCTTAGATGATTCTGAAAAGGTAACATGGACCTTGTTATTTCAAGTGAAAGGATACAAGTCAAGAGGTTACATGTTAGCTCTTATCAGATTATCATATACTTCAAGGCACTGGAAAGTATTTCCCCAGAGGATGGTCCAAATATTCATAAATGACACACCTCAATGAGTTTTTGTATCATCTAAAGAATATCTTAAAATATTTCTCATCCATTTATTCACACCAGAGAACAGTCTAGTAAAGCAGACCGTTACATGCAATTACAGCCTTTTAGCATGTGAAAACTATCGTGATGGTATTCACACCTAATGATTTCACTGTTCTCTGGCTTATTAAAGAGACTTAGATGACTATAACAATTTGATGATGTAATGTTTTTGCAAGGTTAAGTCAATGTCAAACTGTTAACTAATGCCAACATAAACAGAAAACAAACACAGGTAGGAATTAAGTTGTTTCAAACAAATGCTCTTCTACACACATAATAGCCAACTCAATGAAATACTACCTCCTACTTGGTTGATAAACAGGTCTAGGCCAGATAGATATATGTATAAGGACATTTAAACATAACATGGGCACACAAGTCAGGGATGTAACCACACAGCATGGGTTTCTCTGGCTAAAGGTCATAGTAAATGTAGTTGTTTGAAGGTGTGCCTGGGCTGTGATAATGTAGAGAGAGACAGCAGGCAGCCTTCCCAATGTTAATGTCTCCAATTTACCATCTAATTACGGCACTGCTGACTTCATAGCGACACTTATCTAACCAAGACCCAGGCAATTTAATTTTTGATTGTATAACTGCAGTGATGGAGGGAGAGTTGTGGAGAGAGGGCACATGGAAAGACAGAAATTTGAACTAATGTTAATAAATTAGAGATGGTGAGAGAAAGAGAATGATGGAGACATAGAAAAAATGTACAATATTGTTAATAATGTCAGGAGAGGGGGAGGGGGAGAGAGAGAGAGAACTGGAGATGTAGAAAGAACAGTGCTGCCACCAATTTGGAAAGTTCACGTCACTCTACTAGTGTCAAGAAAAGAGGGGGATGAGGAGAGAAGGAGGAAGAGAAGGACGAAGACGAGAAGGGGTAATATTACTGATAAGATAAGTAGGGGCGTATTCAGCAGTGAGGGAGAACTCTGATCTGTAGAAGAGTGGGAGAGATGGATGGAAATGGAAACAGAGTGGGATATTAGTGATAAAATATATGTAAGTGAATGGAAGCAGGGAGAAAATAAGGTTAATAATCATGGCTGTTGTAAATGAACACTTAACACTAAAAGATGTCATGTGAAACAAAACTATGGATGAGGTACAATAATGACATTTACATATCTATGACCACTTGGAGATTCACAAATATCAATAATGACCACCTGTAAGACAAAATGACCAAAAGGTAGCTTGCCCTATTTATGTTACAGCATAACAACTATTTTGCTACTTATGGCTCCTGATTCCATCATTTGGCTAACGGACAGCCGGAATAACTGCTCCTTTGAGACACTGCGCCCTCTTCTCTTCTACTTTTGCTCAACTTCGCTTCAGAGCCAGGAGGTGATGCACATCTATTCACGCTCTTTCACACATTAACACTAAATCCCTTCTACCATCATCCCTCTCCTTTTGTCAACATTTTCTCTCCTTCCTAAGGTTCATTTCAGTTCCCTTAATTACATGCTCCATGTTTCCCTCACTTTTGACTTTTCCTTGTGTCCTAGTCATGCCCATGTAAGATGAAAAGAAAAAATATGGAGGAATTGAGGAAGCATATTTTACAGACAACATTTCTTCTGATCATTCATCCAATCACCAACTGATTTCTGATAAAGGAGCAAATGATGCTCTTGTGTATCTTCGCTTATGGCTCCTCCAGCAGCTTCCTCATTCCTCAGGGCCAGAATAAAAGCTTTAAGACATCCTTCAAGATGGCTGACTGGAACAACTTCTGCGTCGATCGAGGAGTGAAGAACAATCAAATAAAGGAACTGGGATTTAACCCTAGTGTTAACCTTTCTTCCCATAAATCTTTCTTAGTCTCCATCCCTATACATTTCTTATGTCCTCCTGTCCTTGCTTCCACCCATTCCTTGCCTCTCTCTCCCTCTGCTCTTTTCACCCCCCTTCTGTTTCAGTCAACAGCAAGAAGACAGATGACCAGAGTTTCAAGACTTATTGACAGCTGTTGTCAGAACACATCTATCAAGCACACATACTGTACATCAGTGCACAAACATGTGAGAGCACATACACAGGCAAGTCACCTTATTGTTAGAGAAGGGATCAGCAGAATTTCAACAGCAACAGAGCAATGGCAACAAATCATTACCTCTTTTTATTTTGCTGTCAGATGACTGCTTCGTCAAGAGATTGTTTTTAAATTCCTGAATAGCAAATTACTTCAACATTATGCAGTAGTGACTCTTACCTTAACTGTAGAAATAAATTGGTGTTAGTGTCATAAAGAGTATGCATTACACTTTTAAACAAAGATCTTCAGGAGCAGCTACTGTGCTGAGATACATCAGCACAATATTTCACATCTTTACACATCTCAGCTGATACAGCACCTTATACCTGCCACTGAAGTGATTGCTAATGTAGAAAATACCAGCTTTAAGACAGATAAGAAGGTTCTTCTTCAATGTAGATCACTAGCACTGATGCAGCTCTGCTGATGATGCCATTAGCTCTGAAATTGTCTCACCTATGTCAATAAATACAGTAAATGATCATTTGTATCTGTATGCACTGAAGTGGGTAAATAAATCACTGCCAATGGTTTGTGTTTTGTTTGTTTGTGAATAAAAATAGTACTAGTGATTCAGAGTGCTGAGCTGCAAATTAATGGCCTTGACATTAACACATTACACACATAAAGCCTAAAATGTACCTGTGTGCACCTGTATGACTGTAAAAAATGTTTGGTCTTGGATAGAAAACCAGAAAAATAAAGTAAAAAGTATCTCCAGTTAACAAAAAATGTGTCCACATAAAATCTCAGTTACCGTAAGAATAAATGATATATGTTATGAGATGAATGCAGGCTGTGCAGCAGTGGTATTACATTGCTTTAACAGTGTGGGTTCTGTGTGTGATTGAGTGTTTGTGACTGATGAAATGCCATGTGTACAGTACCTGCAGGTCTGCGTACTGTGCTCAGTCATTGATACCAGCAGTTTGACTGCGTAGAGTGGGACAGGCTCTGCTGCTCGAAGGAGAGACTCATACCTAGATACAAACATGCATGAGCACAACATTTGGCTTTCGTAGTGTTAATAAATAATGCACTGCTCTGATCATTAGTAACGGAGTGTAAACTGGAACAGACCTAAAGAGAGGGGTAGAGAAGAGAGGGAGATATGATCAGAGAAGGAGAGAAAAAGAAAAGTGGAGAGAGGGGTAGAGAAGAGAGGGAGATACGATCAAAGAAGGAGAGAAAAAGAATAGGTGCCAAGGAGAAAATTTGAGGAGGAGTGCATGGAAGAAAAATGAGGAAAGAAGAAATCCATTATCTATACCACTTATCCTGAAGAGGTCACAGGGGTGCTGGAGCCAACCCCAGCTGATACTGGACGAGATACACCCTGGACAGGTAGCCAGTCTATCACAGAGCTGACATGTAGACAAACAACCACACACACTCACATTCACTCCTATGGGCAATTTAGAGTCACCAGTCAATGTGTTTGAACTGTGGGATGAAGCTGAAGTAGCCGGAGAGAACCCGCACAGGCACAGGGAGAACAAACTCCACACAGAAAGGCACTGGGTCAGCCAGAACTTGAACCCAGAACCTTCTTGTTGTGAGGTGACAGTGCTAATCACTGCGTCACCATATCGCCCTCCACAAGACATAACATAAGACAACTAGAAAAGAGCATTGCAAAATGGGGGATAAAAGTAATAGTAAGAGTATAGGCAGAGACAATAGATCCAGACAGAGGATGTCAAGGAAAGTGAGAAAACGCAAATGCCAACATCTATCTGGTATTCTTGTTAATCTGTCATGGTGTAAACATCTGAAAACTGTATTCATCTGTCTCTGCTCTCCACAAATAGTACAGTAATTGGATGCCAACATTCAAAGACAGATACTTGTCAGCTGGATGTATCCGACAAGAACTAGGATGTGACGTGGACCCACAGAAGCAGGATGCACAACACAAAACACTATATACTGTACAGCATTTTATTCTAAAGGAGAGCTAAAGGCAGTATTCCATATTAGTAATTGTTTATCATACCACTAATATCTCAATATATGTACAATTATCTTAACTAGATTAACACCTGTAGTTAGTTAGTACTTGAGTAGTTAGTAGTTTCAAGCCAGCACTGTACTCAAGCTGCTTCAATATTGTGTCTGTATACAGCTAGTATGTATCAAAAATAGCTGGACTTTATACAACATTGTCTTGGTTGTTAAAGGGGTGGTTAAAGGAAATATGAATTTAATACTGAGAAACATAATCAATAAAAGCACCACTGGCACAAAACAGAGGGCAGGAATAATCTTAGTTAGAATCAGAATTAGAATCACAATCACAATCAGCTTTATTGGCCAGGTGTGTTGGACATACTTGACTCTGGTACAGCGGCTCTCAGTGTGTATGTACATGTCCTTATGTAAGGCAATAGCAAAGGGCAATTAAACAATACACCTATATAAGGTTGCATAGTATAACAAATTAAACAGTATAAACAAAGCAAACAGACAAGGAATGTTCATTAGGAAATGAGCTAAAAATAAGAATAAAAATAGAGTACTTAAAAAATGTGCGTTATGTTGCATTCATGTTAAAAAACACTACTCAAAGAACCAATAACCCCTTTAAGTTCCTACAAAAACAAGAATTAAGACGCTGTCAAACCAACCTTGGAAGCAAAGATTTAGTGATGACAGCCAAGATTTGACTGGAAGAGGTCCCATCAGCTCTTTCTGTAGCCCTTCCGTCTTCCTTGTCATGTTCATCAGTACCATCACCATCGTGGACCAGCAGGACGAGGCTGAGTTCGGACAGCACCCTCAAAACAAAAACACACCACTCCACTGAGGTGCAGACACAGAGAAAGAAAGAGAGGATTTACAGTATATAATATACAGAAGAGCAACAACTGGATAACATCATGGCCATTGCTCTAAAAAAGACTGGACATTGTTCATTTAGAGTCAGCAGTAGGCCTATTTCTTATGCCTAAATGTAAAACCAAATTTAAAATTAAGGAAAAAAAGATGGTTGATGGTATGTTTTGACCATATCAGTGTATGAATATTAGTGACTTTTACTGTCCTAGTTTCCTTCTAGGATTATTAAAATATTTACTGTACATCATTAATGGAAAACCAGCATGTATACAAAAATAAAGAGGAGGACTCAAGGTTACAAGTGCTTAAAAAACTGTGTGAAACAGTGTAACACAAAGCAAAGGAATTAAAGGCTCACAGAAAACAAACATGCTATTTCACCCTGAGAAACTAGCTCCACAAAACCTCATTGTGTCATGCTGGGGACCCACAGAAACTAAATGGTAGTGACACACCAAGGGTCCAAAAGCAAAACAATTACACTTTTCACTACATACAGTTGATTAATGCAGACTTTCTTTTTATGACCTTAAACATTAAAGGTTAACCTCTCTGGCTGATCAGTGCTGTTGTGTGGTATGCAGCGTAACCATTCGGTTGTCAGGACAGCCCTACTGTTCTAAACCTGGCCCTTCTCCTCCATTCTTTCACATTTGCGATTTCCTCCATCCTTTTTTCATTTTAACTGCCTCCTTCACTCTGACGTTTTCATCTATTTCTATTGTACACCTCCTCTGCCTCACTTCTATCGCTCTCCCAAAAACAACCCATCATCTTCTCTTACCATTTCTGCTGAAAGCCAGGGTTGTCAGAGGAGGCAGGACGGCATCCACAACCTTCAAGAGACATAAATAGACAAAACCACCTTCACAAGTTATACTGTATTGGTCCTTGACCACGAATACTCTGTGAAAAGCTGATTACCCAGTCTGGTAAAGTAATGCTAGAATCTGACAGACTCAATTACAGTCTGCAGATAATGTCTCCATGAACATGAAACAACACAGGTCAAAGCAGGCTGAAATTGTGTAGCAGTACAAAATGAGCTTGTAGAGCCAGCAACACTACTACCAGTGAGCGGAAGGCTTTATATGGAAAGGTTCATGTTTAATCTCACTGTTAACCATGAACAGTATAAACATGATCAATCATTCAATTTGGTCCTGTGAAAAAAAACATTACAGCAATAAAAGCAATTTCAGCCTTCTCTTAAAAACTATTTAATATACTGCAAATCTAAATAACAAGATATGTTTTTAGATTAAACTCAATAGAAAGCACTGTACTATATTAATTCAGTGGGTATCAACCATACAGACCACTTTCACAGAGTATCAAATTACTATGGAAATGCACTGTTGAGTGATTTCTTTGATCACATGCACATACACACCCACTTACAAACACACACTTCCACTACTGTCAAAGCCTTTATTTAGGTATGAATCTGTATTGCATGAATTTGCATGATGACTAATATTACCATGGAAACAACACTAATGCTGAGTTAGTGTGTGGGGTCATTACATTGAAGCCCAGAGAAAGGAAACTACAAAGGATGTTGTCCACCACTTAATGGTCTGTGTATTAATATCACAACCATCAAAAGACTGAATGGCGTGTGTATGTCTGAGGCAGGAGGCACGGTGCAGTCTCTCTGAACTGTTAACTATGGGTGTTATGTCCCGCCACTCTCTGAAATCCTTTCTTGTCCCTGTTTTGTGTTCTTTTCTATCACCACATTTGAAGGATGAATTTCATTCAGTTTGCTTTGCAGTTAATTCCAAAATAGTAAAAGGCCATTTCATTCATTCTGTTTTCAGGAAAAATACAGTGTTGGACACATATTTACCTTTTTTAAACAACTGCTAAATCACAGTCAACAGCTTGCCTTCTGGAAATCTACTCCTGCTACTGGTAAACAGTGCTGACAACTCTACAGGGTTTTTAAGATACATGCTGTGCTCAAGATGAAGCTATTGTAAATCATTAATTTGACAACAAATGGGCTATTGCTAGCAAGTAGCACACAGTACATGTTTTCAGACCAGAGGAACTTTTTCAAAGTTCTTAGAACTATTGGACAAAACCCCTTTTTTTGTAAATCCGCACCACAGGAACCGAGAGTGATAATAGTTCTCAGAACACTGTTTAAGCTCTATTTCAGGGTAGGTACAGTTCAAGCACACATTAATTCAACTCGGACACTTAGTGAATTCCTGTCTATGACTACTTGGTTTAGTAAGTAATGCTTAAAAAGCTCAAATGTGGAGATTTTTGAGATGACAAAAATATTTTATTTTTACTTTTTCCCATAGTAAGAAAGCAGTTTGCAGATAGAGTAGTGGGCATAAAACTTACTGCAAAGTCTATTCTGTAATAGGGATTCAAGGACTAAACCAACTCAAACATGACTGTGTGTCCTTCTCCAGCAGGCAATAAAAGCTAATCTGAGCTGGCTGGTGGTAATTAAAGTGTCTTCCTGTGTTATTGACTATCAGTAGCAGCAAGTCTCCTCTTTGCTCCTTTCCTCTATTCTTCATCTCTTTTCTTTTCTCTCCTTCCATCCAGTCTACTTCCTGCTGCTCTCCACATCCATACGTCAATAGTCATTAAACACAATCTCAATGTCACACACATACACAAACACGCACAGATCTGATGAGGCTCTGTTGGTTCAATACTTGATTAGAGTCTTGCCTAATAGCCCACAAGTTGACCATCTGACCACCAATAGACAGGTTTAGTAGACTGGAAAACACACTAAATATAAAACCAAATAAAAACTAAACCAAAACTGAGAAAAGAGTTAGAAATGCATGTTAGAAAGCATAGCAATGTACCAGGATAATGTCTCACTTCACTAAATTCTCAGCAGACAATCAGTCAAACACTAAATCAGACACACACACATGCACTTAGCTAATGCTGTATCAGGTCAGCAGGCAGGAAGTCAGCTTGCATGCATACTTACAGTGCTGTGGTGTGGAGTGATGAGAGTTTGGTGCTGACTCAGGACTTCCACAATGGACAGAGATGTTCTAATCAGCTCCTCACATACTGCTGGACCTAACACGGAATGAAATAACCTTTATGTTTTGTTATTTGGACTGGCTGTAGTCCAGTTGTGAGTTAGTAACTAGATTGGTTGATATGTCATCTAAGCAAGGCACTGAGGTTCCTTGGCTGCTCCAGATGCAGTGCACTATGGCTGACCCTGTACTCTGACCTTGTCTTATGCACAACACATCTGAAATTCATCACTACATTTCTCTCTTCAAGGCTATATTTATTCTCATCTCTCCTCACCGTACAAAGATCAATATATTCTTGTGATCTTGTGAGTTAGTGTTGTCTTCACAACTAAACCTAATTTGCTAGGTTACACAGTATTTCAACTACAGAAGCTTCATTCATTACTTTAAGTCTTGATGACAACAGGAATGTTAAGATCCAATGAAAAAAGCAGATGTAAATGGACTGTATTTTATATAGCGCTTTCTCACAGTGTGTTGCACTGGCCAAAGCGCTTTACAGAGATGATACACCATTCACCCATTCACACACAACATTCACACACTGATGACGACATGAGATGTAGTATAATTTAGACTAACATAAAAGCATCAGAAAACATTACACAATAATGATGAACATAAAGATAAAACACTGTATGGGAGGAAAGCACTATGTTAAACACATAAGACTTGAATGCAAAGTAGAAGCTTTTAAAAGAACTGATAACAGTAAATAATTACTGAACATTTATAAACATTGTAGTTACTGAAAAATTAACACACCCACAGCACTGGCCAGATTTGTTTCCCTGGTGTCTATAGAGGTGATGTAGTTCTGAGAGGAAGAGAGAGGGTAGAAAGAACATATCAATCAAAAACTTTAGTAACACTTAGTCAAGATAATTATACTGCTTTATTTTTTCTTTAACCTCGTATTTATCACTACAGACTGCTCTGTCTTTCAATTGATTTAATCTATCTGCCTGTTAGCAAAACTACTACAATGAAAATGAGTGCTTTGTTTTTATACTACCCTAAATGTCTTAACGGTTTATATGTGTTGGGATGTCAATGTATGTTTAGCATGTCAAAAACAATTGTACAAATCCATCAGTAATTAGTTCTGACTGTTCATACTGTAGATACTGTGCACTCTTCATTGCTGTTATTGCACATCTGGTTAGATGCTAAACTGCATTTCGTTGCCTTGTACTTGTACATGGGTAATGACAAAGTTGAATCGAATCGAATCTAATCTAAAATAAAATTCAAATGCCATCCTAGTTTTAATAGTGGTATTAGATTGTACTGGTGTGAAGATGAATAAGAATTCACATCAAAACAATAAGTGACAGTGGCCAGTACTGTATTACCAGTAGTACTTAGCACTTACAAGCAGTAATCCAATTTGTGCCAGAAACTCTTCAGTAACAATCCGAGATCTGAAAACCTGTGAGAAGACAGAATCAGTCGTACACACCCAACAGACAAACTGAGATGTGGCAATAGGACAATTAAGAGTAATAGCTAAGAGAATTAGAAAAGAGCAGTCCTACATATAACACTCTTGTCCTCGACAAGAGTAATAAAATGCATGAATAATTAAGTAAAGAATTTGCAAAAGAGATGGACAAGGTTGTTTTCAACACTAGAGAGGTATAAGTAATTTTACAAAAACATTTATGCAGATAATCATTCAGAGAACAATGCTAGAACATTAAACTGAAACTGCAATAACACTACTTTTGGTCCTAGTTACTTGTGATGAAAGCAGCTCCAGCACTACAGACACTGTAGGCAAAGTGTGTTTAAGCTGTCTGCTCTGAGCAGTAGATGGGTGCCTCCGCCTGATCACACCTTTCAATGCACTTAAGACATCCTCTGAAAAGAGGAGACAAGACGAGACAAGAGGATGGAAGAGGAGATTAGAATGGATGCAAATAGAGGCCTAATGAGGTTATGCTACAAGAAAAAAACATAGTTGAAATATTTATGCTCTGTGGTAACACTGACTGAATAAGTATATACAAATGACTTAATAAAAATACATTTTTATACAAGACTTGCTTTATGCTGTTGTAAAACTTGTACAAGCACAAAAACTACACAATCACAGTACGGGTTTTAGTTCAGGCTTAAGCCTAAACTATCAAAATATCTGCATTTAAATATTTTGTATTCCATAACGGGCCAAACACAGTAATGTTTCAATATGTGTTAATCTGTCTGTACTCAGTATCAGCGGTGCAGTGCTAGCCAGATATCCAATCATTAAGTCTAGACACTGAGACAGGTATCCTGATTGGCTGGGATTCTCTCTCAGGGGGGTGGCTTTGCGCAGGTCTCTCTCCAGGTACATCACAAGTCTAGAGAGAAAGAGAGACATATTCGTTGCATGTCACAAAATATAAAAAAAAACACTTATCTTCAGCTCTCTGTGTAGCATTACTGATGCATCAGTATTTGAAGGATGAAAGATATTTTCCACTCTTGCTGCTTTTAGTCTCATATTCTCCTGCTCAACCACCCGTGACATGCTCAGCAGTGTCAACTTAGGGACTAACATGTAAATGATGCAGACATGTTAACAATAGGATTCTAGTCAATGAGCAATAAAATTTTGACAGGGTGAATAAAAACAAAGGGACTGGGAGTTTAGCGAAGAGAGAAACAGGCCCCGTGTTTGAGAACATTTTTATTCTTGTCAGACTGTGTGTATTGAACAGTAATCAATAAAATTCTATTCACAAATTCAGAGCAGAGCGCAAAGGTTACCACAGCTAACTGATATTCATTACTGACACGCAAACACACACACAAGTGTGTACCAGTGCACTGACATGTACAAGCACGAATGAATGCAGAGCCACACAGAGAGATTCAGAGAGGTCATAATAGTTAACAAATATTGATTCTAAGCTATAGAGTGGCAGTGGTGCTGAGAATGTAGGGATTTGTATACACTATGTCTCCTTATAATGTTGCATAAAAGATTAGCATCCAGGAATTGTGGTTATATGGAATCCCACACAGCTACTATTACAGAGGTCCAGTGCAATTCAGGAGAGCTCTCATAGCAATTGCTGAATTTTCCATTACTGTCATTGGGTTGGTCAAACTGCAGCCTTTAATACTCTAGTGTCACATTAATATTCACTTCCAGTGTAACCTGTCCTTTGAGACAGTCATGCAAATGACTAGTCAGATTTATCTGTTTATAGACCATTTAAACACATGCCTCTTTCTAATGACTGTAAAAAACAACTTTGCCAAGGTTTAAGTAATCAACAGTCAAAATAAATGACCTCAGTGTAGCTAATAACACCATCTTTAGGCCCTCAAGCATGAAAACCACTACTTCAACAATACTTTAATTGCATGTTATAGGTATTAAATACAAAAGTATAATTAAGAATGACAACATGAAATAGAACAACTCTCTGAAGGATAAGCAAGTACAGCTGAGAGATGGGCTGAGGGAAAAACCTGATGAGGTAGAAAAGAAAGATTTTACACAGATAAGGCAGAGCTAACTATCAAAAATACCCTGAGGCCATGTTCAGTTCCAGTTCCATGCGGGTTTGCTACATTAATAATTTCACTTTTTCATATTATATTTTTTTTAAACAATTACCTCAGTGAGGTGAGGCAGATTTTTTATGTGTCACTCATGGCATGGTTTTCACTCAGTTTAACTTTGGAGCAAAGTGAATGAGTAAAGTCAATTCACAGTCAGAAGCAAACTCATATCAGCCTATATACTGTAAAAAGCAATGTATAGTGAATATGAGTCTGACTGCACTATTATGTAGTGTCTGTTTTGTTAGTATTAGGTCCTAAACGATGAGAATTCTGACCTGTTTATGTTGTTTATAGTGATAACATAACAGCTCACCAAAGTCCTAGTTGATCCTGAGGGAAACATTAGTGTCTACCAAATTTCATGGGAACAGATCTAACTGTGGAGGAACTTCACACAAAAGCATAAAACACCAGAGGATTACCAAATAAAATTTGAAATTAGGATTCATCAGCTGAGAAAAAATAAATGTCTGCACAAAAAAATCACAAAATTGTCTTTAAGTGCTCATAGGATAAACAAAAAAAAAAATGGTGTGCTGATGGTGCTAAATGAAAAGTAAAGACTAGGATTAGTCCTCTGGGGGCCACAAATGCCTTTAAAAATGTTATGGCAAAGCTCTAATATGTGTTGGTATTCATCACTTCTCATTACCTCACCAGCATAAAATATGCTGCCATGTTTTTCTAGCACCAAATGCATTCTGTTTCTCCACAGCACATGAACAGTGTGTTTACTCATCTGTCTCTCTACCAAGCTGCCTGCATCCTGTTTGTCTGCCTATTTGTTTCCCTGCTAGTCTTTCGCCTGTGTGCTCTTCTGCCAGTCTTGCAGCCATTTTTCCAGATTGCTAAATAAACTGAGAAACGTACCACCTCTCTGTCACTCACTGTGGGAGACTCACAAAGTACTCACACACAACTGACCTACAAGTGGCCTGCTGTGTGTGTATGCGCGACTGCATGTGTTGAAAGTCGTCTCACTCCACTCCCAATGGCAATCTTGACACTTCCTCAGTGAGGCCTGCGCAAGTTTATCTCATACAAACACACACATATTTTCACACCACTGAGGAGCTAATTAAACACAGTGTGCCTGGGTGAGAGCAGGAGTGAAGGAAAGATGTGTATCTGTGTGTGTGTGGCAGAATCATGTGGTGTGCTCAGTGGGAGAGAGACAGGCAGGTCAACCCTGACAGCTCTAACACAGGTGAAAGCAAGTGAGGTAGAGAGAGAAAGAGAGAGAGGAAAAGAGCAGAAGAAAAATAAAAATAAAAATATCTTAAATTTGTTTTGGGGTCATGTAAAAGGCAGTTGTGTTCAGATTTTAGGAATTTAATTCTTATATCTAAATAAAGAAAGCAACGTTATTATAAGATCTAGCATACAACCGCAAATCAGAAAAAGTTGTAAAATCAATCTGTATTACATTGAAAACAATACAGCAGCACATTATTTGATGTGATACCTCATCGGTTTTATTCTTTGTTCAAAATAAACACTTCAGTTCTGATGCCTGCAACACATTTGGACAGTAAAGCATTTTCCACAGTGTGATGCTGCCGTTCCTTTTCACAACCGTTAAAAGACATTTAGGGATTGAGGACACCAAGTGATTAAGCATGTCAGGTGTAATTTTGTCCCATTCCTCCTGTAAACAAGTCTTATGGTTCGCAGCAGTCCTGGGCCATCAAAAAGACAGTTCATTTATTATACAGCAGCTGCTAAAGAACTGTTGTGTGGTTATCTGAGTCAAAGGTAATAAAGATTATCTTTGTTGAGTAATAACAGTTACAATGAAAATCACTGGTCGTGTCAACAAACTCTAAACCAACTCACCTTACCCTTACTCTATATGCAAAAGTTAATGTGGTAGTTCACATAGGTCAAATGATGGAAACCAATAGCATAGAAAAAAATGGCTGAGACCAAGAGAGAGAAGAGCTGTTAAGAAAAAAAGCACTTCAATAAAAAGAAAAACTTTGTGAGAAAAAGAGATGCAAAAATAAAGAGGGGAGAAAGAGAGAGCGAGAAGAGTCAAAGAGAGAAACCATTTAAGTATCCATATGGCAATCTGAAATACCAACTGGTCAAAAATTATCAGGGGAAGTGGGCGTGTATATACTCTATGCAATATATCATGCATATGCATCTCATCATATGGGCTGTGCACATGTACAGATGCACTGGAAGGCAGTGTGGGGTGAAACACAGTACATACAGCTAATGAACCATTTGTAGTTCGAGGAAAAATACAATATAGAATAAAGTGAAAGTCCAAGGTGCATACATCTTATATTATCAATCCGATGGTTGTTGTAGTAGTTAATGCAAAGGTTATACAGAGTATAACTGCCTTGTCAACAACCCCAGGCACCATTTTTATAAAGGAAGTCTCCCTTGTAAAAGCAGTTGGCTTAAAAAAAAAGTGTTGAAAAGCACTATAGCAGTGCTTGTATCAGAATGTGCAACATCTGCTTCAAGATAAATCACTCTACAAAAGCATGCATAGCAAAATTTGTTGATCAAATTCTCTGTGTCCCAACTAGTCAGAACCAGCTGTCTGTCTCTCAGTAGCTCCAGATGTGCTGAAAGGACAGTGGTCAATCAAACTGTCTTTACCAGACTGACTGATATCAGAAATTAAACCAAATAGTTAAGTAGACTGCATGAAATATACATACAGGAAGAAAACAGCATTTCTTTAATTTATTGATTGACTGATTTTTATTTCCCCCATCCAATTTAGTGGGTAGGGGAAATCTGCCTACAGTAAAACCAGAAAGCTCAAAGTGACACTGGGATCAGACACCACAAAAAAAAAAAAAAAAAAATTCAACATATAAACACATGTCAAGCTGTATGATTTAACAACTGTCTGTGGAGATTAAGCTTCACTAAATGCACCAGAGTCAAACAAAAAAGGGGTCTGAATGTGAATGGATGCATTTGATGAAATGGTAGCTCATCTGTTCTGTGAGTAGGGTGGGTAAAGAATGTCCAAAACACTTTTAAACACACAATGTGAATTGGCCTTTAGAGTGAGGCACTGCACACTACCCAGCCAGAATAAAATACCTAAACTTATTGGCACATTCTCTAATGTTGTGTTTTCATTTTTTGTTGAATCCAAACCCCCAGCAATCAATTAATCACACCTTCATACCAATTGGACTACTAGATACTGTAGAATATACACCAATATGCAGTACAATATACAATGCCAATTTCTGTATTAAATAGGATTTTACACATTTTCTAATGAATAAAATGAAATTGGGACAGGACATTGGCAATCTTGACTCTTCCTCAGTGAGCCCTGAGACCCCCCCAGATGACACTGCTGTCTACAGCAGTTCTGTTCCCTACCCTCTGTTTTTGATAGTTCATCCAGACATTAGCCCTGCCTACCACCTAGCAAAGGTTCTAAGAACATTTTTCCAAACAAGTCAAACAGCTAGCCAGGGAGGGGCTCTCGGGAGCTAAAAGTCCAAAACAGTGGCCATCACACCAAAGAGGTTGTAATCTTTTACATACAGAGAGTGGGACAAATAAAAAACAAAGCCAGGGTTAACACCGCTTTGTCTTTTTGAGAGAAAGTATTAAAAGCAACCAAAGGACTCAAATTTGATTCATATGTGGTGTTCTTCCTTATGGATGTGTTAGCAGCTAAAGCTAACGTATTTATTTTGCTAACATTAGCGACCTAACATGGTCATGATTTTACCTTTGTGTTGAATTAATATGATTAGTAATTTGGGAGTAATTCAAGCTTCGTGTAATGTTAGTGCTTTTTTAGCCCTGTTCAGGACTCTCTCCTCACTGCCAACCTTGATCTCGTCACTGTATCTAGACATTTCAGTTTGTTTTGAGTCTCATTAGACCCTCTAGAGGATTACAAAATTTGTTAATGCATCTTTAAAAATGAGCAATATCACAAAAACAAACATCCTGGAGCACACGCTTTGGATTTGACCACTACACTGTATAAACTGCAGACAGAATTTAGTTTAACTATAGCATACCTAAAAGCACACTGAAAGCTACAGTTAAATAATTGACAGGGAAATACCATCCTGAAATGGAATTCACAAATGTGTTTCATTTGTTCCTTGACAGCTCAGTCTATGTGTGAACATGGGCAACTACATTCCAAAGAAACTAATTAGCCAGTGGTCTGACAGTAGTTATGAGTAAGCTGGTCCAACTCTCAGGAAAGCCAGTCAGTGGAAAGTGCACCGAGCAATGTGGTAAGACAACAGTTAAACAGACACACTACACTCAAGCAGCAGCCAAATATTATTGCCTGTTACAGCACAGTTAAAAGATGTGCAACTCTTTAATCAACAGAATGAAATTATATTTCAGACTTGCAGCATCCCCCACAATTGACAGGACAGATCAGCCACTGATCCCCAGTATCGCATCTGGTTATCATCCTTTGCAGAGCTACTGCTGGATACTACTAGATAGGGCCACACAGAATGTTCCTTTTGACAGAAGAGGATACAATTACAGCCAGGCCTTAATGTTTGCATTATAACAAGGTTTTAAAAACTATGTCAAACACTCAGAGCTGTGTATGAGGACCTGAGACAGGAGATTCAGTCATATGCAATCACAGTAAGTGACCAAATGTGAGATACTTTCCAGTTATTGGTCAGTTAGTCATATAAAACAAATGTATTGCACATATAATAATGTGGCTGGGAACAAAACATGCTTATGAGGAGCAATGTCTCTGTCTGCTGGTGCATCAGTGTGTATTTACCTGTTCTGACAGCAGTGAAGCAGAGTGTGCGTGTTGTCCTGTATTAGTAACAGTAGTAGTAGTAATGTTTTGGCTCTCGTTACTGTGGATGGACTCTCTAGACATCGCAGCACCTTCAACACCAAATCCTACAAGACACAAACATAAATAAAGTGAATGTCTTCCGACGACTGGTTGTGCATGTTTCTGCTGGTGTACAGTTCAACACAAATCGCTATAAGGAGCATACTTTCTACTAACACAGCAAAATAACATGTTTATGTAATAACATCCAAACTAACTAGGTTTTGCTGCTACGTATCCAAATAATGTATGCACAGATACTGCATAAAAAACATATTTAACATTTTCCCTAAGGTGTTCAGGAAAAAAAATTCTGAAATGCATCAGCTACCAGGTTGAAACTTAATCAGTTTCGATTCCAGATTATCACACACCAAGTGCGCACACACAAACACATGCCCACACACAAAAACGTGTGCACCTACAGCTACTTTAGACATTCACTCATTCAGCATAAACTCGACAGCAGTAACTAGCTGGAAAATTCTTTTGACTGGCCAACATTCATTACCATTATCATCAACAACACACACTGCTGAGAGAGTGTGTGCGCTAATGCAAGAGAATGTGCGATCATGTGTGTTCATGGGGCGACACACCAAGTTAATTAATTTCAAAGCCCAGTAGTGTGGGCCAAGCTGATAAGTCCCTCCCCACTACCCACAATGCTTTGCTGAAGGCTGCAGCACACTCATCAGCCAATTAGCCCAGATATTGACACACTCTTCAAATTAGAGTATGCGCATGCACACACATGCACAGGCACTGTCACGCATGCATTCACACAAAAGCACACCCACACACGGACACACACACTAACAGAGTACTGTATAAATAAACTCTTGGACTCTCTTTGTAACAGGGGAGGGGAGTTAGAGAGAGAGAGAGGGAGGGGGAGAGAGAGAGAGAGTGTGTGCATGTCTTTATTACATTGCATGGACCAGTTTTTCTTTTTTGTTGCCATTATTGTGAGCATATGTTGGAGTTCATTTAGCCAGTCCTCATAAAGGGCTTAGGGTGAACATTACAATTAGGTTTAGTGTTAGTGTTAGGGTCTAAGAAATGCATTATGTCAATGCGTGTCCTCACAACTATAATAAGACACGACTATGTGTGCGTGTGTGTATGGGCAAGGGGGAGGATGTAGGGGGTGAATGCATATCAGTGCATAATTAGAGCAGAGTTAAAGTACTAAGTTTGTATTCTACTGTTAAATTGGAAATGCTCAATGCAAATAAATTCAGTTCAGAGTCAATTACCAATGCTAGACTCCAAGTTAGAAAGCTTCAAATCAATTTTTAGCCCCTCTGCCTTACTAAGATTAGCACTTCACATACACACTAGATTGGCTGTCTCATGCAAAAATTAAATAAGTAATTCCTGACAAATTAGTTCATGCACAGTTCAACATTAGCTCATGAACTGTATGGAAGAAAAACATGCAGACAGAGAGGGAGGAAGTACAAAGTAAAGGTTTTGAGAATTTAAACCAGTTTAGTTTATTCCTCATGTTGTTGTCTTATCTAGGACTGTTTGTTTTCATCCCTGAGTCCTTGTGTAAAAATGTCCTTATTAGTAATATTCCCCACAAAAACGTCTCTCAAATTCAAACCCAGCTCAGTAAGTGATGTTACCACCGAAACTGCAGAGGTTCGCTATCAACAAAATATAACATTAAAACAGTATGGTTTTGTGTCTTGGTTTCTCAGGCCAATAGATATGTAACCTGGATGGATCTGCATTTGACATTTTTGTAGTATAGACAGTATACATACCCTGCTCTGTGTGACGCGATGCGTTTGGATGCGTGAGGTGACTAAGGCAGTGGCCGTAGCAGTGAGCAGGTGCTGCTGGACTCTGGCCCCTGCACCACTCACACCCTCCAAAATGGCCGCAGGGCCACAGGTGTCAATCACTGCCAAAAAGACTGCTGGGACCAGCCGGGTTAGCCTAGAAAGAGACTGGGGACATAGAGACAGACAGATGAAGACACATTCACACACAGGTAATGTATGTCATTGTGTGTTCCCACTACCTTGCAATATCATGCTCCAACTTTGCGTCGACACTGATGTCAAGCTGTTAGTGCCCTAAAAAATTAGCAAGTACCCAGTGCTACATAAGAGGAAGTACCAAATACCCTACAAATTCACCATTAACAAGGAGGTTAATATGACTCACAGTCTGACAATGAGGGATTCAGGTTAACAAAGACTGAATGGTGGGTCTTTTAACAGACATACTGTACATATAGCCCATTTAGTTGCCGACTTGCAACAGTGTCAACTACTTGAATTAATGTAGCTGACGTGTTTTGGCTCTCTATGTGAGTGTTTGTATACCTATGCACATATGACTGTGTATATGTAGGTGTGGGTTTTCATGTGAACCTACAGAGATGGCAGTGACTCTAACAGCTTCCACAGTGGAGTGAGTGAACAGGTACCACAGAGTGCAGCCTATCTCTGTGGTAGCCAGCTGGTGGGACGGGCCAGAAATGGTGGCAGAGATGTTCTCTATGGCTTTTGCAGCCATGTGATGAACTATGAAATCATCCTGTTAAGACAGACACAGCAACACATTTGAATATTTCAATTTCACTGTGGTCTAGTGATCATAAAAATTTTTAACAAGCATATATTATTTACTGAAATCATAATTTGGAGGTTTGGTATTGGAAGTCCCAATCATTATCTCAATAGCAGAGAACAAGAAGCATCTATTCCTACAGTAAATGAACAATACATCATACAGGTGGATATATTTATGGTACAATGGACTGAGTAAAAAATAAAACTGACTACACCTATAACAAAATACAGCAAAAACACTGTCTATGTACGCTCACAATTTTAGCCTAAAAATATTCATACTATTTGAAATTTGATTAGACTAGTTTTGCTGGACAAATGTTATTAAAGACCATTCGAGGGTCACCAAGAAGATCAGTGACCATGTGTTTGCCAAAAACTTTGCAACTTGAATCCAAAATCCTCAACACAAACATTATCACACTGACCCCAATGAGCTTCCCCAGCACAGGCTTTACATGGAATAACAAACAGGAACACTGAGAAACATGTAGAGACAATACAGAATAAAGAACACGCTGTTGTGCTGCAGTATGTGCTGAAAAGCCTCAAGGGTGCAACCACAGAGCCAGTACAAATACCTAACATTAGAACAGCCAAATGGCGAGTGTATTCTATTTGTACTAATATTCAGTGGCAAGAAAAGGTGAACCCTGTGAAATTATTTGCGGAGATGTATAAATTGGTCTTAAAACCTAGTAAGTAATTAGAACAACAAAACCAGTCTATTTGTCCTAATAACACTAATACAAGATTCAGGAATTCTCAATATTCGCTGTAAAAAGTAAGCGAACCCCTACACAAAAGCTACTTGGAGTCATCAAAACCTTGAGTCCAGTCAATACAGCAAGATTGTAGGTGTGGGTTCGAGGAACTCTGAGTTATTAAAAGCAATCAAAATCGAAATCAAAATAGGCATCTGCTGATGTGAACCATGCTTTGAAAGAATAAAATCTCAGAAGACTTAGAATACAACAAGGTTACAGGGTTACAACGTCATTTCAAAGGGTTTAGATATAAAGGAGTCCACAATTAAGAGAAAATGTCTATGAATGGAGATGATTCACTGCTATGGCTGTTCTCCCTAGAAGTGGGTTCAAGTCGAAGAAGACTCCAAACCCACAATGCAGAATGTTCAATGAAGTAAAACAGAAGCTAAGAGCGTAAAGCAAACACTGGAGCTGGTATGAGTCTGCTAAACACAAATCATGGTGCATGGTTACATGGAGCATGAAGTCCTATCATAGACAACACAGGCGTAAACTGTTGCCCTCCAAAAATCCACAACACTGCCTGAAGTTTTCCAAAGAGCACCTTGACACTACTAGGAAAACGTTTTGTGGGCTGATAAAACTACGGTTGAATTGACTGAGAAGAACACACAGCACTATGTATGGTGTAAAAAGGGCAGTGTATACATGAAAACATGAAAACAACCTCCCAAAAGTGCACGAGAGTGAAGGGAGCAGCATGATTTGGGGCTGCCTTCCTGCTTCTGGGCCGGATACCTTCTAACATACAGGATAATGACAGGGTGGCTGGCCACCAGCTGAAGCTCAGTAGAAGTTGAGTTTTGCACCAGGAAAATGACCCTAAACACTGAAGTAAATCTACAACAGAACAACTTGAAACAAAGAAAGTCCACTCTGATCAGATCATATTTTATGACCAGCTACAACAGAAAACCAGGAAATTCCAAAGGCTTCACAAACTTTCTTTCCACTGTATTCAAAGATAACTTGCATCCTAACAAAATGCTGTTTTTCATGGATAAAGTGTTATGTCGCTGTGAATGAGACATTTCTAGTTCATTATTAAGTTATAAATTCAAAACACGATTAGTGTCCTACTGCAGAAGGCAGAAATGAACAAAGAACAATGTATCACAAACTGAGAATTAGATTAGCTCTCAACATCACCTCAGTACAAAAAGGAGAGAGAGGTTGCGGGTGGCATATGAATGTGTGCATGTGTCAGAGTGGATGAATTAGTGTGCAAGTGTTTGTGTGTGTATACTTGTGTATACTACATGTGCACACACAGCTTTGCCTGAGTAAAGAATACTTGTTTGTGTTCTGACAATGGGGCCAGACTAATGAAATCTCTGTGGCTGAGGAAATGAGTTTTTTTTTTATCCAGGAAAGTCATTGTGGAGACAGACAGGAAGTAGAACAGAAGTGATTGCCTCACTCAGGTTAGTATTGTGTTTCACTGTGTTACATCACTTAGACGCCATTCTCCCTAGATATGAAATATAATAGAGTCTATTCACAAAATGCAGTTAACTCTATTTTATGGTAAGAGTCCATAATAGCTGAAAAATTCATTTCACTGTGGCAATTTATTATGGTAATTCTGAAAAATGGTGCAGGTGACAGATAATGACATTATTAGTACCATTAATTATCAATTAATTGTTTCATTGTAATTATGCAAAATTCACACTTAACTGCACTGACTGCCCACACATTTGTGTATATGAGACTTAAATTAAGACAAGATCCAACAATTAAAATGTTAATCTATCTATTTAGTATAAAAGAAATGCCCTTAAGCCTGCAGTGGTTGTACAAAGTTCTTAGTTTGTTCCTTCATAAACAACTGCAGCTTAGGTCAGCTACAATGGACACAAATGGTGGCAGGATTTCACGATATCAATGTATCTATCCACTCAGTCAGCATAATGGGCTTTTCTGCTCTCCATCTTCATGCTAAGGATTTTTAAAACAGATAGCTTTGGCAAAATATGGTTAAATACATAGGTTCTGTTAGCTTGTCCCCTAAAAAGCATGAACACTTGCAATATAATCACTGTATGAATAGACATAATGTAGATTATGCTGGTTTGAAAAGTTTCTATAGATATTAGACACACCTGCCATTAAAATGTGCCACCATAGGAAGTTATTATAATAGGCATTAATTCAAATTCACCATACTGTGGCTGCTATAAGTCAGAAAGAGCTGACTGTCAGTTCAGGTTTTAAGCCCTAAGTTTTTATCATTTTCTCTTTCAATCCTCAAACTCATTTGCCTGAACATATGCACAGTGCAATGATGGTTCCTTCTGTCCTGCAGAAACCTTATGTCCAGAACAAGGTGAACCTTTTACAACTGAGAAAAAAATCTTGATTCTGACATTTAACAATACATTAATGACCAGGCTGTGATCCACAGCAATTAGACATATCCTGTTCAACCACATGGGAACTATAATCATAACTGATATCTTAAATAACCTATCTATTAATCCAATATAGGACATCACATTTCGTATTAAATACCAAGGGACTACATAGCACAATATAATGAATCCTCTGGCACCCCTCTGGGAACCATTAGAATGGTCTGTTCCAGCATTCCCCCGGCTGTGTGGGCCAGATCACTAATGAGCCCACGGGGGAGCACCCACTGTCTGTGTGTTTAATAGACTGTAGCCTTGCCAGAAACTACACAGAGAAAGAGAGATGGGGGGAGACTGAAAGAAAGAGAAAGAAAGAGAGACAGAGTGAGAGAGATATCCTTACATGTAGTGAGAAACAAGTAGCTCATGCAAGAAACTCATCATTATGATGCAGAGAGAGAAATGCAGGAGACTGAGGAAAGAGCAAGTTATTCTCATTATAACTTCTCCCAGTATGAGAAACAAGTTCATCCAACAAACAGGCTTACTATATTAAACTCAGTGTCCTAATTAAACCTCACATCTCCAGAAAGCCATCTTTAAATAAATAAATGCTAAATTTTTTGCACTTGCTTCCCAATATCTTGGGTAGAAGGTTCATCTAAGATCTTTGTTCTTTACACACAATAATTTTTAAGTTCAATTGATGAGAGATCACTAATTCTTCATGACACAAATAGTTATACAATCCTAGTATTTTTTTCTTCCTCCCAGTACCATAGAAGCTGACAGATGTTATTCAACAAAATTGGCCAGTTTAAAACATGACAGGAACTTTTTGTTGTATGTTATTCTCACCCTCTCTCTATCTCCACATTACATAAATATTCAGGTAACTGTTGAACAAATAGTTTAGAGCAAGACTTAAGAGTCTGCAGCTATGTTCGAGGCTCTGTGAAGCTATATTAAGGCACAGCAGTGCTTTGAGCTACAGTAAACACTACTGTCAGCATGCCAACATTCTCAAAATGGTAATGCTAAAATGCTGATATTGAGCACGTGTTTTGTTTACCATATTCACAGTTTACCATGCTAGTCTACAATCTAAGCTAAACATGAAAAAAGACCGCAGACATTTAGGTTTATCATGGCAAAACAAGGACAGGGATAACTGATAACATTATTACCTCCAATAATTTTAGGTGAGCTGGGTCCAGGGTCAGGACACTCTGCAAGCTCACTCATTGGCATAGCTTACTGAGACACTTAATGGAACTGGACCATAATTAACAAACTTTGTTTCACTGGTGCTTTTACTGATATGACAAGTCCAAACATCTGTCATAAAAAGGTCTATTAGGTAACTTGTACTGAGCATAAAGTACAGCTGAGACTGATGGGAATGCAACAGGTTTATAAGTATTGACAACTTCATGTTTGAACTTGAGGACAGTCAGGACATCAACAAAGTCATTAGGTTGGAAAACTATAGTATGGTAGGCCCCTATTTATCAATAATGATTTTAGATATTCCTATTTGAGATGAACAACTAACTGAAGTGACTACATTGCCTGATAATTAAGAAAATAATAGTAGATAAAATATATAAAAAATTAAACTGTATAATTTAGTCCAGTTGAGGATAAAGTCAGATTCTCTGAGCTCAGAAGATAATGTAGTGTACAATGGTTTTCTTTAATGCAAAAACAGGCTCATTCTCTGAAAAAAATGACCTTAACAGGTGTTCCAGTGTATAGTAAATGTAAAACATATTTGGAGAGCCTGAAATTAAGATGATTTCTCAGTAGAAACTGTGGCAGAAATGTGTTGCTGAACTGGA